TAATACATAAGTTATGAGAAGAATATTTATATATTCAGGAAATTTTGCTTCATTTCTAAATATAAATGGTTTTGCATTAATATTTAGATTTTTGTATATTTTTCAAATGTTGTCACAAATATTACATAACTTTTGACATAAAACCCAATTCATAAACTGATCACAAGTTTTTTATGCGCTTCAAATCATTAGCTATTAAAATAGTGAGTTATAAATAGACATCGGATGTAACTTTTTTTGTAGACAGGTTTAAGCAACTCTTTCAGTTTGGCATATAATGCATAGTTTATACTGTATTATGTAATAATGGATATTATTTCAGCTAAAAATACTATTATTCTTACAAATAAAACAAGAATTTGAAACATTAAACATTTTATTACAAATCAAAATTATAATTTATTTAAACAAATGACAGTATATTTTATGTAATAATAATTGATAAATAAGAATAATAATTATTATATGTATAATAAAATAGATATTAATGAATACCTCCGTGAAAAAGGACCACTTCTTGTCTTCCGGCAATGTATGCCATAATCACTGAATATAACATCAAAAACCACACAATAGTAACCAATAAATTATAAAATATTAAAATAAATTTAACGATTGAGAAGAAAGTTTTGTCTTCCATAGCAATCCTTGTGTTGATATAACTTTTATATTTAGACCAAAAAACCAAACGTGAAGTAATTTTATTAATAAATTAGTTTTAATTACTGAAACAAACGGTTGTTTTTCGCACTTAAAAACAGTGTTTGAAACTGTGTTTTTCAATTAACTATAAATTTGTTAAATATATTTAATGAACGGCAAAAATAAACTCAAACACAAACGAGTGATCGCTGACTCGCGTTCGGGAGAGTGAGTGATAGTGAGGAGAGTGTGAGTGAATTGAGAGAAAAATTGTGGGAAATATATGTCGAAAATAGTTTTGGGAAGAAGTCGTGTGTTATGGAGAAAATTAGGCAAAACTCCAAAAACCTTATGTGTTATGGCATTAAAATGTTAGATGAGTTTCTCCATTGCATTCAACCAAGTCTTCAGTCGCGTGTCTGTCGTACTCTCCTCTCGCCTCTCCCTCTTATCCTATTCCCTGTCAGTGCAGTCTCTCTCTCTCTCTCTCTCTCTCTCTCTCTCTCTTTCTCCCTTTTCATCCGCTATTCATATCTCTCTCTCTCTCTCTTTCTTTCTCTCTCTCTCTCTCTCTCTCTCTCTCACACACTCACCCATCCCTGTATTTCCCACCCAATGTCTTGTTCTCCCTTTTCATCCGCTATTCATCTCTCACTAAAACTATTAGAAGAGAACATCTTTTTGCCACAAGAGTCGAGTCTTTCACCAGATTTCTTACAATTGCCTCTAAAATAGTTATTCTTTCGGTTTCTGTAGACAAACGGAAAGTGAAATTTTTTTTAGACATTAATTGTAAGTAAACAACAATAAACTCAAATCGAGGGTCGATTTTAATCATCTATTAATACATTCCCTTCACTCTTAAATGATAGCTTAGTTTATAAAAACATACAATTTTTCTATAAATATTTAAAACTTTTAACTAAATATAAAACTTAACTAACGTTTGGGTCTATTTCAGTGCATAACATAAATTTGAATGAAAAACAAAATTAAACACTATGTCTGAGACGACGATTGATATAACATTGAAAAATACAAAGTTTTGTGTCAATTATATATTCAATTGAATGATTGATTTAACACATTGTCTAAAAATAAACACAAATCCATCAAAAACCCAATTATTATGTTTTGACCGTTCAATCGGTTAATTCATAATTTGAAATGACATCCAATGTATTTGTGGCAAAGAATGTTAATTTATGGGTAAATGTTTGCTTCCGGTTCTGGGCTTAAGTGGAGGGAAAGAGATGTCGTTATGCCATACATATGTCGATCATATTATTGACGCTCTAATGGATAGACTCAAATGATAGTACGAGAGAGCCAGAAGTATGATAACCACCACCAGAAACACGAGCTCCACTATGGCGTACGCCAACGACAGGTCATACCATTCCTTCAACAGTATATTTATTGTGTTTCATATATACATCTCATTGTGTATAATAGTCGCCAAAATACTTTATATTCAGTTAGCGAGAGAGAGAGAGAGAGAGATGAGAGATGTCAATGGATTTTAGACCAACTGCCGGGACAACGAGTGCTTACAAATCCTGTAAAACAGATGTATTTTTTAATTTTTTAGAATATGAAAAGAAGTATTATATTTTGATCATAACTTTTTTGCTACAAATTTATCATAACATCTAAAAAGTCTTTTATATTATATAACTCTAAAAACTCGTTAACCAAATGTATGATTATTAAAAATATTTATGCATTTTATTATTTTAACGAAAAGAAAGTAAAATTTTTTAAAACTCGAATAGAATATGTAAATTAAATACGAACAATGATTTGAATAAAAACTATTTTAATAAAAGTTATAAATATAATGTCAAATGTGTTCACAATTGCAGTCATTTTCATAGAATATAATAAATAAACAATATTTACCTGAAATTGAATGCAAAATTAACTTCTATTTGTGTGCCAAACACTTAATCGCCTTTCTTTCTTGTTTACAGTGAGTGTTTGTGTGAAACCTAAGAGAAGGGGAGGAATAGTGTGGGAATGCCTTCTGTTATCGGTTAAAGGTTAGACACCTTTCCGCTCGAGGACTGACGGACTTACGTTACGGACCCGCAGGCGAACTGTATCTACCTTTGGGTGCCGTCAGTCCTCAAGTCATGGCATTAACCCATACTTAGGTTTGAATTCAATAAATGGTTAGTCTCTTGCCTGAAAAGTCTTGAGATCCATGTCTTGAGTCCAAAGTAAAGTCCAGGTCTTGAATTCAGAGTCGTTTCGATGGAAGGATGTGTTGATTTGAGTGTTGTTTCGATTGATATCTGAAATAATGTGTGAAAAGAGAGGATTAGTTAGAGTTTAGTGAAGAATAAGTCGTGAGAATGACTGCAATTGTCAACACATTTGACGTTTGGATTAAAATAAAGTGATTTTGAATTTTTTAAAACAAAAAATGACTTAAAAAGTTTCAAAATTTAAATAATTTTAATAATTGTTTAATTTTTGAAAAAATAAAATTACAAAGCACTTTAAAATTATTTTAAAAATTAATTGTTGACACGAAATATACATTAGTTCTATACATATGTATAAATAGTATTTCAAAAAATCAAATAAAAGTAAATTAAATGAAAATAACGGAAAATAACGAGTAATAAATCAAAACCCAATTCTGAGGAAAACAACTCAAAGAATGGAAACAAATATAGAAATGAATGAAACGAATGGACAGCAAAGAAGTGATGTCCTCAACGATGATGTCTTGTCACTCATATTAGGCCGACTCCACATCAATGAAGTGTTTGCATTACAGCGAGTGTCGCAACAGTTTCGCGATTGTCTGCGGGAAGTGCTGCTGAAGAAGAGAGTTGTGACCATTGGATTCAATGAGCGGTACACATCCTTACGATACTTAAGTTTACTGTTTAAGTTCAGTGATTGGAAACGCGTAGACATCACACCAGCGATCGACTACAAAGGCGTGGATCTCGTGAACTACAGACAGTGGCGTTTGGAGTCAATGGTTAACCACTTCCGAGACGTCAACAGCTTATACCTATTGTCGACTCAATTAAGTGCGGAGACAATTGAGCTGTTGGTCAACCATTGGCCACACTTACGGAAGCTCTACATTCATGAAATCGACATCAATGGCTGGCGGGACCAGACAGTGGCCGACCAATGGGTGCAACTAATGTCCAAATTTAGGCATATAATTGTCGACTACATTGACGCTAAATATGTGCCATTTATTGCAAACGTCATCAAGAATTTGCCACTTTTGCAAAGTCTAAAGATTTGTCATCACTTTGAGGGACCAATCATTGCATTCACAACACTCTCCAAGTGTTTGCACTCAAATATCCGTTGTCTAGACATTCAGGTGACCGGTAGTGACACTCAGGCCATCCAAGACATTACATCGAGGTGTACGCAAATGCGCCAACTTTTCATTCAGGATCGCCAATGTGTTGGAAACAATATATACAACGAGTGGTTTGCGTTGATCTGCGATCGTCTCCAACGTCTCAAGAGATTGAACATTGTTTTGGACAACATTTCGATGAAAGACTTCGCCGACTCTATCGTTAAACTCAAACAACTGCGAGACCTGAGCCTTACCAGTGGTCCGTCGCATAAACCCTCACTTTGGATGTGTTTCGACACCCAATCCATGGCCTTATTTATGAAACCTATGGCAACGTTGCGGTCGTTATCGTTGTTCAGATTGAAGTGTTCACCGAATCGGTGGTCAAATATGGCCGAAATGTTTCCGAATGTACGCCAACTGTCGGTCGACGACATGTCAATACACATTGATTGTGATAGTGAATACGATTGCGATCAGTGTTTCCATCAGTGCATGGATTGTGTCTCAAGACTCCCACAACTCAAGCATATGATTATCACAAGTGGCTCTGAAGACCATATGTCTCGTAAGATACTGGATCTGTTCGCTGGTATGGATCGACTCAGTATTGATCTCTGGCTAACAGATCCCATGATCACTGATGTGATCGGTTTCTTGTCCTCCAAACCAGTGGCCAATAGGGGCCGAGTATTTCATTTTACTTTACCGTCAATTTTTTGTTGGAATTTGACGAACAAAATGCGCGAAATGAATGTCCAAATGCCTGATAACGTGATTGTATCCAAAGAATAAATACGGCAGTCGAGGGATATCTGCCGTCGCTTCCAATCCAATCAATCAATGGATATATATTTTCTCAGTATTTAATCCGTGTTTTCATTAGAAATATATTTAAAAACAAAAAGTGATGAAAATTTGAATTTATTTTGAATGCAATAAAACTTACACTTTTCCTCATATATTTGAATAGAAAGAGTAATTTCTAAACATTAAATCAGACATTTCTAACAAATACATAATCAGAAATTCTCCAGCATTTTATTTTTATGAAATAGTCATAAAAGTATTGCATTTATTATAATTTGTTATTAATATCTCATAACTGATTTATTGAAGTAAACATTGAATGCAAAAGTATTTTTAATCATAGATGAGTTGCGGAGAGTCAAGGAATCCGCCGTCGATTTTCATCATAATTCCTGTCGTAAACCCGGAATCACTCGAAGCCAAGAATGCGATCGCTTTAGCGATGTCTTCGGGAAATCCCTGTCGACCGACGGGTGTCTTCTCGCAGACGGCTCTCCACATGATTTCACGCTCTTCTGGTGACAATCCGCTCGCGTTTTCCCAAATGGGTGTTTGGATCTGACCCGGACTGACCATACAATCCAATTACATGTTAGTAATATTACAGTATATTCATATCAATTGGTTATATGTGTAAAGTATTTACTCACTTCACGGCATTCACACGAATCCCTTTAGGACCCCAGAGAACAGCCAAACTTCTGGTCAACATATCCAGACCTGTCGTACAATATTTTAGTGTTAATAATAATTTTGCATTTATTTATATCAATAAATACCAGCTTTTGCCACACAATAGGACACTGAATGATTAAACTAATGAATAAATTAATAAATTGTCGTTATTTTAAATATCAATGGTTTATTTAAAGCTCACTCACGGGTTTAAGCGAACAAATGCTAGAGTTATTAATAATAACTCCTTTGAATTTGACGAGTAAATCATAGGCTCTGAGAGAGATTTGATAACACGAGCGAAGGTTTGTATTCAGAAAATCGTCCCATTCTTTAAGGGATGCGTTACTCTCTCCGCCTCCGAGTCCGGCGTTATTCACCACAACATCCAATTGATTGAAGTGTGCGATCACTTGATCCATCATTCTGTCCACTTCTGCCTCAATGGCCACGTCTGCGATCACTTCCAACGGCTTTTAAATAATAAAATTTTACTATTAATACAACAGACAAATAGTGGTAATAAATACTTTGTAATGTTTTGGCGACACTTGAGAGCATTTAAGGGCCACTTCGGCCACTTTGGAAGCACTCCTTCCGTGAACAACCACTTTAGCGCCCAATCGTGCAAACAATATGGCTGTGGACTCACCGATGCCAGAGCTGGAACCGGTCACCAAAACCACTTTGTCTGCGAAGTCCAGATTAAAAGCCATTGGAAAGTGATTGAGAGTATTGTTACGATTACTCAACTAGTCTTACAATTATGTAAAGCATTGGTTTTTATTGAAGATTTTATTCATTATCAAACTTCTAGCCTTGGATTTGATTTATTGAAAAAATTGATTAAATTCTTAATCTTTGTTTAAAATATTGAAAAATGTTGATTAAAATTGTGGTTTTAGTGAAACATAAAACTACTGTTTGATGGGTGGATAACGTGATAAATTGAGTGGCAGTTAATGGATAGTAAAGTACAAACTTGGGAGCAGTTGTTGTCGAGTGGATAACGATTATCACAACAAAATAATAATTTTCTATTAAAAACAAATTTTTAAATTTGCGAAATGAAAGTCAAAACTTAATGTCTGTATAACTGTTTTTGTGTTAAAAGTAATTCTTTCACTTTTGCAATGAAAGAAACAAATAATTTGAAAAATAGTATAATATGCATTTTTATTAAACAAAAATATACAGTAATTTTAATTTCGTAACAATTAATTGAGATAAAATCACAATTTTATTAAGATTTCTATGTCCTTCACTTAAATCAATGGTTTCAATATATATCTAATTTACCGTAAATTACAAATTATAATACAAATGTGTTTTAAATCGAGTAATGCCCAGCATTTGGTAATTCAAACTTAAATCTCACAATAAATAGCTTATCAAATGATAGGGTGAAACATCATAAGGAAATGACCCAAAATAATTATAGTGATAGCCAATAGAGATTCAGATCCACTTAACATGAGTTATAACTTATAATGTATTAAACAATACAATAATATGTATTATAAATCAATGGCATATTCAAGAAGATAATTAATTTATAAAAATATGATATAAATTAGCAATTTTTCAATATATATTTACATTACATAATATTATGACCACTGGTTTCACCATATTCCATGCATATTTCATTCACCTCATTGTATTTTGAGTTTCATCTAATTCACATCATATCTACATAAGATTACGTTTATAAAATTAAATTAAATTATCTCATATTAAACTCTTTTGTAAGTATTAAAACATATCATTAAATATTAAAAGTAGTGTTTTTTATAAAAATCTATTTATAAAAATAGACATAAAAGCAATGACCGATTGATAATAACATGGGTTTGACTAAAATGTTTTGAGAATTAAGAAACAAAAATCGATTATAAGAAATAATGGCATAAATAGGATAAAAAAAGTCCATAAATCAGTGGACAATAGCTTTGGGATAAAGAATTAAATAATGAGTGAAACAAATGTGTTTCAAAATGGTATTTAAATAAAGGGTAAATGTTTGGTAAGAATTAAAGTTAAGAAATATATGTTTCAAAAGTAGGTATTAATGATTGACTAATTAAAATCGTCGTCCTCTTCGTTCAAATCTATTCGGCAAATGTTTGCCACTCTTTTATGGCATCCATTAGTGATTATCTTATGACTGTTTTGAGACATTTTGGGGTAACTGTTGCTGTTGTTGAGTATGACTTGCGATCGGTTTAATCGTTTCTGATTCTCTCTTAAAGCTATTCGTTTCGTGCATTCATTTGGTGACAACTTTTCGATGATAACTGAAAATATATGCAATTATTAACATTTATTCATAAATTTGCTAAAAATTAATAACATTTGAAACCAAAAGAGAAAAACATAAATTAAACACAAAAATAAGCGCTTAATGCAAAGTAGAAGTTTTTGTTTAAAGTTTACCTTTAAATCGGATTAAATGTGAGGAAAGAGTAGTCAAAGAGAGCAGAAAACCAGAGAAACAAATGAAATGAGAGATTAATGAAATGCCAATTGAAATGACAACTAAAACATCAAAAATCTAAGGTTTTGGGAGGAATTTGGAAGAAAAATAAAACAAACATTCAATTCAAAGCCATTCCCAGTTTTTTTAGCAAAATGTTGTAATAGTTATGATATAAACACACAATTGGTTAGAAGTGATAACAAATTATGTGTAAAACAAAGACAACATCATTAGTGCTTTCGTTCAACAATTAATAGTCAAACAAATGCCAAACAAAAAGTTACAACAAAAATCAGATGTGGAAGAATACCTTTGGGCGAAGAAGTATCACATATGGCGGCGTTTATATCACAGCTGTGGTCGATATCGATCTGATGGCGACAAAAGGGACACCGCATTAGCTTCGGGACCAAAACCTCAACACTCCTGTGACAGGAAAGGGCGACGATTCTGGACTTCCAGTCAATACCAGTCGTCAATCGCTGCCACTTATCGAGCCGTTGGCGTCGTGTAAATGAGTACTGATGGACATCGAGTGTGTGCTGGCGTTGGGAGAGCTCCTGACCAATGGTCAGGCGCTCCACGTTATGGGCCCTCCATTTGTTCAGTTTATTGTCCGGTTTATTACGGAAACGGATTTTAAGCGAACAATAGGTCTCGTATTTGCGGACCAATGACTCGACTCTCTGTACCTCCAGATTCTGGTTGCGCAGCGAAGCCATCACTCTGTGACCCATCGGCGATGAGAAGGGGTATACAGTGTGACACTTGAGGTACTGTCGGCGCCACTCCTTCACGATCTGCTTCTTGTGTTTCTCCAACTTCTTGTATTTGTCTTTGATTTTGTTTGCGGTCATAGTTTTCGATCCATTCTTTTTCTTCTTCTTCGTGTCCTCTTTGGGCTCAATATTGATTGGCTGTCAACAGAACAACACTTTATTAATTGTAATCACAGTTTTTTCCATAGAAATACATTGTAAGTGACATTTTAATCATAACTACGAATCGATTGAAGGCCTAAATAATTATTGTTTTTCAATCAATCAAAGAATTGATTGCAATTCATGTAAAATCAGTGATAAAATGCTAAACAATTGTCATATCATTACTAAATTGGGTTAATGTCAGTAATGGCTTAAAAATCTGCGGTCGAAACCTATTTGATACAAATTTTGAACTTCATATTCGTATTCAGCGTTAAATTCCACATTAGTTAGAATTAATGAAAACTTAATTGTACCCTAACGTCCCATCGATAACCCTTACTATAAATTAGTTACAAACAATACACACCTTATAATCGTCGACCAAATTGTGGAACAAGAAGTCTGGATCGAGAATAGGCCGACCAGTCGTCTCACTCACAGAATATGTGCCACTTTTGCTGATATTCCGCAGATTAAAGCCGGCGTTCAGTTGTTTGGCGTCTAATTGTGTCAACGATTGGACTCTTATTAAACCCAAATATCGATTATATTCTGAGACAGACATCAATGAGTTCTCCCTCTCATCACATGCCGTCCATTGTCTCAAATCGTGTGAATGCGAGCGTAATATGCGGTAAGAGTTGGCCCGCAATGAGTCCGTCCGTGAGTTCGAGTTCACCGCCGATGCCATCGACGGACTCTTTGGGCTCTTCGGACACTCCCAGAGACGCATTCGTCGGGGACTCGACTCCACGGCCGGCGCCGCCGAAGTGCTGGCCATCGGTGCCGAGTGTCTGCTTGTGAGGGCCCGACTCTGGCCGCCGCCGACTCCTGGCCTTCGGGTTTGCATTTGAAACGTTTCGAAGAGTTTTGAGTATTTCGTGAAAGTCTTTTGATCGACAAATTGACGGTAATATCTCTTATACGATATCTTGTCGTATGCTTTGATCAGATGTGGTGACAATCGGTGAAGAGATACCGTTTGAGTTGTCCATAGTTTCGGGTCAGACATCACTGTTTTGGTCACTTTTAACCGACGATTTTGTTCGTCGTTTCGGTCGCGTCTGCCGTCCGGTAGGGATCGCAACCGTCGCGCGTCGGCCGCAGACTTCATGTCCTGGTTATAAGTGCGATGAGAGGGTAAGTATTGATTGGAGTAAAAGGTTTGCGCGTAAAATACATGAATGAACACACAATTCAGGTGAAGCCTTATAGAAATTCTTATATTAGTCGGTAATCGATGTGTGAATTAGTGATTGAAATTTTGGACTCAGAGGCGCTGCTCTGAAACGGCTCCGGTTCTCGACCGGCTCTAAGAGCCGTCTGTTTGCACGGCTCTGAGGGGTAGAGCCCTGAAGAATGTTCGCATTGAAACAATTTAAAGAGTTTAAGGGATTAATTTGTATTAAAGTTAATCTTTTGATAACAAACGTTAAGTAAATCTATGACTTTTGAATAGAAATAGTTTTATTTCCAGATATTCAATGGGGGGGGG